ATTGCAGGTGCGTTTTAATTTTTTCTCTTCATTTTCAATTTGCAAACAAATATTTTTGGCGCAAATTAAAAATTTTGTATGTATACTAAAGGTACGTTTAGATTGTGCACTCTTTCGTACTAAAAGTCCAATATTTCACAAAAATATATCTTATATTACGTTTACATTTTACCGGATTTATTTTACCCAGTGTGTTTTATTTTTATTTTATTTTTATTTTATTTATTCAATTCATTCCATAATACTAAAGCCTTCAAGGCCAATAAATAGTATTAACAATCATTACATTCCAAGTAGAACTTATAAATAAACAACTATATAAATATAAACTAATTACATATAAGATGTTATAATATAATTGGCTCCCCAGCCATAACAAAAAAAAAAAAAAATACTCAGCTAAATAGATGCAAGTACTGACCACGATAGCAACAAATATAAACAAGATTTTATTAAAGAAACAAGACAGACTTAGAATATATATTGAATATTATCTGATTCAAAAGAAGAAAAAATTATGAATGATGAAAATATTCATCATTGAATAATCACCGCTGAAGTTTAAAGTGGTTCATTAGTTTCACTCTGAAAGAATTATTGGAGTGTGAAAAGAGTCTCAGATCCACAGGTAAATAATTCCATATCCTTCCAACACGTATTAAAAATGATTTCTCAAAAGAAGAGTAAAATATCCTAGGTATATAAATTTGTGTACTTCGCGACGAAGATATAAAGTCAAACATATTTGCTAAGGATAGAGGTACACCATGCTTGATTATCTTATAGAAAGTGAATAGCAACTTACTAGAAAGAAAATGCTCAAAATCAACTCCCAATAATGTTTCAACATAACCAGATATATGTTCACGTCGTTTTAATCCGTACACAAAACGAGCAATACAGTTTACTATACGTCTTAACTTCACAAAAATTCGATCAATAGTGCCAGAAACCACTTCTAAACCATAACTAACATGGGACATCAGCAACGCAAATGCTAACCTTTTTTTCACTCATGCCGGAAGAAACAAGTTAGAAGAGTACAGTCTTCGAATAGTACAGCAAACTTTGCGTTTAATCCAGTCAACATGTGACTCAAATGAAAGTTTATCATCCAAAAATATACCCAGAATTTTATGACAGCTACCGAAACTGATTCGATTCTGGGCTAAAAAAATATTAATATCATCTGCTTGACTACCGAACATAATGGCCTTGGTCTTAGAAGGGTTAATTAAGAGACAATTATCGATACACCATTGCCTAAAACGTATAAGACAAATATTTATTTCCTCTTCAAAATCTGTAGCATATTCACTCTCATCAAAAAAGACTAAAAACACATCATCTGCATATATTAGGGGTGTACAGTTAACGTCAGAAAAACACTCAGCAATACTGTTAACATAAAGCACAAACAATAACGGACCCAAAACAGATCCCTGCGGAACACCACACTGAAGCGGGAGTAACATTGAAGATTCTCCATTATAAAAAACAAATTGCGATCTACCACATAAGTAAGATCTAACAAGTTTGCAAGCAATACCAGAAAAATTGAATTCATTCTTAAGTTTATTCATCAACATTTGGTGAGAAATTGAATTAAACGCTTTAGTGAGATCTAAAGAAACAACTACCGTATTCTTATTAAGATTTGCGTTATGTCTAATCATATCCGTCATATAGAGCAACAACCCTGTAGTACTGTGATTCCTACGGAATGCAAACTGACCATTATATAAATATCTGTTAACATGTGTCAGTATTTGATTTTTCATAATGTGCTCACACACTTTGGACAACACAGGGAGAATTGATATCGGTCTAAGATCATCATAGCTATGTACAACATTGCCTTTTGGTATAGGGACAACACGAGCTTTCTTCCACAACACAGGAAACATAGAAGATGTTAGAATGCAGTTAATTAAGTCCAACAAATAACTAGAAATGTAAGGAAAAACAAGTTTTAAGAATTCCAATGGTATTCCGTCTACACCAACTGCTTTAGATTTAATTTTACCCAGAGCCATAATAATATCATCAACATCTACACAACTAAATTGTCAATCTCCTTGTATATATGTCAAATAATCCATCGTCATAAAGTAGGTTAACCCGATAAAAGGTTCTAATGTAAATGCCGTTTTAGTATGTATACACATTTTTATGTTAAGCAATTTATTTGAAATGTTTACTTTAGCGTATACGTCGTTTTAATCATGTTCACAAATCCAGTGGAAAATATATGGCATTTCGGAAATCTAAACGTACTTTAACTGACGGAGCATGTTCTTCAAGGACGTACGTCTTCTCAAATAAAGACCCTTTCCCAGAAATGTAATCTTATAGAAGCACATTATTAATGTACATTTTAATTTGTTGTGGTATATATCAGATTTTCTTTTTTCTAGAATATTTAAATCGTGACTAATTACATTCTTATCTTAACATATCATTTGTCTCAAATGAAATATTTTCCGGAAATTTCTCCAGAAATTTCTCACAAAATAAAATTATGAACTCGAATTCATTCGAGTCCATCCTAAATGATTTGGTGTTTAACAACCGTTTATTGAAATTATATGTTAGTGCGATGTAATTTGCAAGGAGATGACAATTTCAATGAAATGAATACTCAGTCATTTGTGTTAGGTTATAAAACAATGCAATGCGATAACAAACAAATATATAATACATTTCATTTGCATTTCAATGCATGCTATACTAAAGCACTTTGTCATGTATATTTATTTGATCGAAACATTGTAAGTAGGGAAAAAAAGCAATAATATATTCTCATTATTCGCAAATATTTGACACTGTGTGAAATTGCAGGTTTTAAATAGTTATATAAAGTATAAAGTTTTAAAGCACATTTAAATCGAGTTGAAAATTTCAAGTCGTTTCGTTATTTGTTTCCTAAAACCGATTTGCAGTAATTTATTTTTAACGACGCACGAAAACATCATACACCCTATGCTATGCAAATCTATTGGTGTCAGATTTTGCAGTTTTTATTTAATTTTTTTTCGAAAGAACCAAGGCGTATTTAATAAGGTGTAAGTGACAATCATATGGTTTCAAACTTTTTTCCTTGTTGTTTGTAAAGTAAATTGTCAAAAACATTTTTAATATTACATTTCGATTTCAAAAATGGTCTTTAAATGTAGTATTTTTTAATAATAAAAATTAAAGAAAATACATTCATAGAGGCGGACGGAAAGGAAACCTATGCTTAAATCAGTTATAACCCTGTTCGCCGATTGGTCCACATATTTTATGTTATGTGTGGAAATCTGTCCATAAATCCCAGCTACTCATGAAATCGTGGAGATTATGTTAGTCTATATTGGAATCGCTTGGTGCTTATCACAATCCTCGGCGGAGGTTAAATACGCCAATAGAAGGATTTTATACGGTTAACACAATTTCCATGATGATTCTTTAACCGGGGATTGAAATCGAAGGACATACAATTTTCTTTAAGAAGGCAAAATTTGAAGCCACTCCATAAAAAAATAGATTGTAATTCACAATATAAACAACACCACAAGGAGCCATGGGCTGCATGTGGGAAACTTAAAAATAATCGCGACCAGGTCTTAAACTTTCTTTTTCATTCACCTAAAACCGCCAATAACCCAAGAATACACAAATTTATTAATTATTCCTAAAAGAATAGTTCCTGAAAAAAATAAATTAATAATTGTTTTTGTTTATTTTTGTCAAAAACTTATTGTTAGCATGACAATTTAATTTCTGTAACAACAATTTTTTTTTTTTTTTTGTAAAATATTTGTTATTGTATCTGATGAATACACCTTATTAAATACACCTAGGAAAGAACAACAGAAAGTACTTAAGGCTTGTTTAGACTAATAGTACGTTTACATTTATCCGGATTTCGTCAACCCAGTGGATTTAATTGTCAATCAAGCTGAATTTACATTAATTTACCATACAAAATTAAATCCACTCAATATCTCGATTTACTCGAAATACTATGCTAAATCGATATTATTTCAACGACAACCCTGATTTTGAACAAAAACAATCACTTCTTTTAAAAGTGTGATTTAAAATACCTACAATTCAAAACTGTTTCCTAAAAAATATGACAAAAGCTAATTAATCAACTTTTAATTTTAACCTCTAAGATTGGTACCTCGACTAATAAATCTAATTGATTTATAAGGCATTGTCTAAACGCACCTTAAAACCCTTAAACAATCATCACCAAAGTTATAGGTGTCACCATTGTACCGCAATATTTTAAAAATCGTAGCGACCGATCCACAATTGCGGTCTATGTATATATTACATTATACCGTCTACAAACTCTAGGTGCTAAGCTACACATACTTTATCTCACACCATCATGCCATCTGTATACCGACTTACCACCATTTTTATTTTTTCTGAATCACCCTGTAGCAACGATGTCTTCTTGAAAAAAGACAGAAACTTCAATACTTAGCCATTTTGAGATTTAAGCGATGCGCACACTAGCACTTTTGAGTGGCACCTTTTTTTTTATCGATTACTGACAGTCCAACAGCCATGAATATTTTTGTGTTTGCCTGATGAACGACAAACATGATAGGCCACCGTATTAAACAAGCAAAATTGGGCAAGAGTGCCATTCAAAAGTGCTAGTGTGTACACCGCTTTAGTCTTTCAATACTAAAATTCGATTAATCGAAAATCAATTTACTTATCCCGCAGTCCCCATCCCATTTCATTCGTAAATATTTCGTTCTTCTTTATCGGTCATTTTGTCTTATCTCCCATTCGTTAGCAAGTGGAACGTTTTTCAATTTTATTCGTTGCGAACAATTCTGTGAACAACAACTGAAATATGTATATTGTGTTTTATTCCAAATAAAAAGTCGAAAATTTATTAATTTTAAATAGAAAACTAATCGCGTTTCAGAACGCTTGCAAAGTATTCGTAAAACTTTCCACTAGAGTACAAAAGGTAACACACACACAAAATGCCCGTGAAAAATGGTGGTGGCGGAGAGTCAGATGGTGACGTTTCAGGTGGTGCGGAATCTGAGCATTCCAACTCCAGCCAAGGTCATGAATCCAGCGATGAGGAAGCCAATGAAATCGATTCCGACGATTCATCCGAAATGGATGTTAATGAAATAGAAAGGCGGCGAACGGAATGCTTAGAAATCTTAGGTAAGTTATGCTGTGCTGTGGCCCATTTTAAGCAAAGAAAATCATGTTTTCATTCCTCTGTTATAGATCACTTGGAAAAACAATTCAATCAATTGCGAGAACAATACTATACCGAACGTATTAATCAAATCGAACATCAATCGGCTGAAGTGCGCAATGGACGTTCCGAGGAATATTTACAACCACTCAAGGAGTTAGACAAAGTATACAAAAATCGCATTGAAGTGGCGGAAATATTACGACGGTATCGCTTAGAAAATATCGAACACAAGTTTTTGAGTGAGGAACAAGCAGCTTTACAAAACTTTGAGGTAACACATCACGAAAGTAAATACAAAAAACTCATTATAACTTTTCCGTAATTACAGAGTGAAAAACAGTTGGCTTTAGATCAAATTTACGATGACTTAATGGAGAAAATTAGACGTCTTGAAGAGGACAGACACAATGTGGATATATCCTGGGATGACTGGGGTAACGATAAGCGGCACAGTAAGGTTCGAGGACCTGCTCGAAAGAAAGCAGTTACTGTCACCGGCCCATTTATTGTGTATATGCTACACGAGGAAGATATTCTAGAAGACTGGACTACAATAAGAAAAGCTCTAAAGCGTTCGACATTGCCGGGCCCTGTGTCAGCGGCTTCTGCAACATGACCCTAAACTATCTTTTCTATACAACATTTTCCGTATTTCCTGCTTCCTACATGCTTCGCCCAGAAGGGATCTTCATTTGGTTTCTAGTTGTAGTTTTTAAGTTTCAACAAATAAATCAATTTTCTCATTTTTTGTGGAAAATTATTTAACAAAGACAACAGCAATTTTATTTGGAATATGATCAATAACCCTTTGATTTTAAATACTCCCTCACAACATCAACGTAGTCGCCGTGTATACGAATCTGTCCGCTCATTTCGTTGACACGGGTGGCGCACATTTTACCCTTACGTTCCTTTTCTACCACAGCCCGGAGTTCTTTTTCCAGTTGCCATATATTGCCTTGTACACGTTTGAGCACTGTCACCCTGCGCTGTCCCCTGAATGTTGTTTCCAAATAGACTGGAACCATATGATTACGTGAACGGGCTACATAGTATTCCAACTTGTCCATGTCTTTCAGACCAACTGATTGTGGTTTCCAGCCAGATGGATATTCCGGCTTTTCAGCTACTTTGGGTATGACAGGTTTGGGCAGCAGGCGTTCAACGTATTTCCATTCTGGAGGATTCTTTAATACTTCGACTTCAGGATATTGATCTAAAGATTTAACAATATCGGATGATTTGTAACTTGAAAAACGTGTGGGTACCGGTACCTGAAAATTGTACAAAAAATAAATGAAAGCTAAAGAATAAATTTAACAGTAGCTTACCTTTAAAGATTTGGTTACAAGTTCTTTCACAGCTCTTTGTATTAACGCCATTTTTTGGGGAAATTATTTAATTTCTGTGAATTTATTATTAATTTCCCTTAAGTGATTACAAAATAGAATTGTGTTGTGTGGTTCAACCTACCACAGCTGTTTTATTCACTGAAAGGATTGAATGAACTATTGAACGAATGAACGTTATTCACTGTAAAATGATTACAGGTTGCACGCATTTAATATTCACAATAAGTCACTGCTACTATGTAATTTCACATTAAAGTAATTTAATGAAAAAAAGCTTTATTTTACTTTTTTATTCGAACGTTTACATATAATATAAGACATTTATTGGCCTCTATAAATACCAAAATACAGCCATGCTGCTAAAGTCTTCAAAATGCCGAAAAAGAGTCTGAGGAGATATACCAAAACGATGTTGAAAATTTATTAGTAGGAAGATTTTACACAAAATGAGAAAATAAAAAATCAAATAAGAACCAATTCAGCTTGAACATCTGCTCAAAATCCATAAATCTGAACAGCATCAATATTAATATAAATTATAATTTCTTGGGCCAGTTTATTATTTAGTTCCATTAAATTATTTGATTTATATACAGGCATGATAAAGAAATGAATTCCAATCGATAGTTTAATTAATTCCGTACAAAGATTCACTTTATAATAAAAAGTATATTGTTTTTATTTATAAATTCACATTTAAATTCAATTTTTGTTCAGTCTTTTCAAAATCTTGCATTGTTTAGTTATCAATAGTTATTAAAAAAACTTTTTAACAAAGTTTTGCCACACTTTTTTTTCTTCAAACCAAAATATATTTTTGTTTGCTTTAGTATATTATTGATAATGCCAGATTGTAAAATTCTTTAATATGATTTAAAGAATTTTACAATCTGTCATTACGAATGATATTGTTACGTTCTTGGATTTTACTAAATCCCGTGTAGACGTTGTTTTATTTCCCGATACAGTTCGTACCAAATAAAACGCGGGTTCGTTCTGATTACGATTATTACAATGATTTTATTCACACAATTTTACTTTGCACTTTACTTTACACGACGGTTTCAATTCGCGATCTGATTCACAACTGACTCACTGCCTTTCCATTCCCTCTATTTATATGAGCCCTGCCTGTCGCTACAGATGTTTCTAGACGATCTGGTAACACCTAGATCACGAACAATCTACCAATGCAACAAACACATTGAGTAACAATAACAACAACCAACTTACTGAGTGAACAATAACAACAACAAACTTGAGTAAACAAACTTACAATAACAACAACACATATACAGGCGAGGGAATAACAAAGAAAGAGGAATAACAACAACACATATACAGGCGAGGGAGTAACAAAGAAAGAGGAATGACGTTTAACAAGAATTGTACGACAATAACAAAATAGAAAATGAAAGAGGAAATGGAAGGATGTAGAAAAATCTATACAGTGGTTGTTGTTGTGAAGTTATTCAAATAAACTGCGTAGTAGAAATTTACGTTACAATTCAAATTCTTAAATTAACGGAATTCATCTAAATTAACTTAAATCTAAAGTTATCTTCGTAACAATATATTAAAAAAAACAATAGAGACAAAAAAATACCAAAATAAGTTTTTTTAACAATATTAATGTGTTTAAAATACAATATATTTTCCGATTCTTGTTAATTTTGTTTTGTTCCAGTACTTTTTAATAGTAAAGCTAGTAAAAGGGAAACATTTCAACATCACTCTCAGAGTACAAAATAATTTCAAAAGTTCGGGAACGTAAATCTAGTAAATATGCCAAAATTAGATGGCAATACTTCAAAATCAACATAACAGCCAATCAGAAGTAGGCATTCCAGTTTACCATTTTTACTCGGCCAAATTTCTCGAGTAAAAAGTTTACAAAGCCAACGCCATTTTGTTTTGTGCTCTCTTAAATTTGATTCTATTGTTACGAATATAAATTTAGATTTAAGTTACTTTAGATGAATTCCGTTAATTTAAGAATTTGAATTGTAACGTAAATTTCTACTACGCAGTTTATGTGAATAACTTCACAACAACAACTACTGTATAGATTTTTCTACATCCTTCCATTTCCTCTTTCATTGCCTATTTTTTTTGTTGACGTACAATTCTTGTTAAACGTCATCATTGATGATCGCTTAATTCCTCTTTCTTTGTTACCCCCTCACCTGTATATGTGTTGTTGTTATTGTTTACTCAATGTAAGTTTGTATGTGTTGTTGTTATTGTTTACTCAATGTAAGTTTGTATGTGTTGTTGTTATTGTTTATTCAATGTAAGTTTGTATGTGTGTTTGTTGCATTGGTAGATTGTTCGTGATCTAGGCGTTACCAGATCGTCTAGAAACTTCTGTAGCTACAAGCAAGGCTCATATAAATAGGGGAAATGGAAAGGCAGTGAGTTAGTTGTGAATCAGATCGCGAATTGAAACCGTCGTGTAAAGTAAAGTGCAAAGTAAAGTTGTGTGAATAAAATCATTGTAATAATCGTAATCAGAACGAACCCGCGTTTTATTTGGTACGAACTGTATCGGGAAATAAAACAACGTCTACACGGGAATAAGTAAAGTCCAAGAACGTAACAATTGGTGTCAGAAGTGGGATTACGATAATACTACGATGAAGTTTAAGGATCTACGGGTGGAAGACTTGAAGAAGGAACTTAATAAATTGGAATTGTCCTCTACTGGCAACAAGGCTGAACTACAAAAACGTCTGTTGGATGAGTTCGAGCGCCGGGGTATGAACATCGATACATATGAGTTTGACAGTAAGGATGAAGTGGATTTATCGGAAATGGGCGAATCCAACGGTGGGGAAGTCTCGTCAGTAGCTGTCAGGGGTCAGAATGAACGAGAAACTCGAGAACATTACAGAAGTTATTGGAAGGAGAGTGGAAACCGTGGAGGTCCAAATTAAAGAGTTGGATAAGAAAGTGCAGTCGGTTGACGAGAAGATTCTGTCTGTGGATGAGAAATTTCTGGCCCACGACCACAGGTTTACGAATCTGGAGAAGAAAATGTCGGAACTGGAAATTAAAGGTGGTCCGGTGCGAGTTCCTGATAACACACTAAAAATCAAACCTCTGTATTCGACGGCACTACGTCATTCAATGTTTTCAAGTTACAGTTCGAGACAGTGGCTTCTAGAAATTCGTGGAACGACAGCGACAAAGCGGTTGCACTACTTCTGGCATTGAAGGGCAGTGCTGCTGATGTTATACAGAGTATTCCTGTCGCTTCTAGGAATAACTATGAAGATGTTATGGAATTAAGGGGAAGAGTACAGAGGGCAAACGAGACGTTACAAGACTTTGCAGCTGAGGTGGAACGTTTGGTGCTAATGGCGTATCCAGGAGAGAATCACCCATTGCTGGACCGTATGAAAATCGAAACCTTTGTGAATGGCATACGTGACCCTGAGATTAAATGTGCAATATATGCGTCACCAAAAGCGTCGTTTGCCGAAACTGTGTCGTTTGCCCTTGCCCAAGAGACGGCCAGAATAATTGTTAAGCCCCAGACCCACAAGATTCGCCAACTGGAGACCGAAGGTTGCGAACCCAAATCTCTCGTTAACTCGATCAAGGACGCCATGAGGCAGGTAATAGAAGAAACAAAGTTAGTAGGGATGACTAAGCCCAGGGTTAGATGCTACAACTGCGATAAGGTCATAGGTCATAGGTCATATTGCGATCTCTCGTTAACTCGATCAAGGACGCCATGAGGCAGGTAATAGAAGAAACAAAGTTAGTAGGGATGACTAAGCCCAGGGTTAGTCATCCCTACTAACTGCGATAAGGTCATAGGTCATATTGCGCGCGAATGCAGAGCTAAGCGCAAACGATCCAGGTCATCGTCACCACCTCCAACGAAAGATGTTAGAAGAATTGCTCAACAGTCCACCAATGAGTCACCGTTAAACTAAATCGAGCCAGTCCAGCGGGGCATGAACTGGCTCCCATCGACGATGGCCCCACAATCTCCATAGCAATAGTACAACAGAAAAGTCACAACCTAACAGCAACTGGTACATCAATGGTGACAAGCGAGTTCTGACGTTAGATACTGGCGCATCAAAGTCCATCATAAGATCAGATCTGGTAAAGGGAAAAATAACGCAACTTAATGGAGTCAGACTGCGCACAGCAACGGGGGAGCCCGCGGCAGTACACGGCAAGATTACCCTGAGACTGACTATTGCCAATAAATCGGTGAATTACGAGTTTATAGTTGCCGATATCGTAGACGAAGTGATAATAGGCGCAGATTTTATGATTGCCTTCGGTATCAATCTGGATATGAAAGAGCGTGTGATGACCTGGTCTAACGTTGAAATTCCGTTAAACGTGGGCTACGATGAAAGTACACCCATTAGACGTCTGACTACGGACCATCCAGAGATAATACCGCCCTGTGCCGAAGCAATAATATGGGTACCAATGAATGGAGATTGTGGAGCCGAGAAGTTGTGGGTGGTGGAACCAGCAGAAAACAGAAACAGTAACATCCTAATAGCGAATGCCCTGGTGAAAAGCAACAAGGACGGATTAATTCCTGTTAGAGTTTTGAACCTGTCAAACAAGCAAGAGCAAATTTGCCAATTTTCCGATGTTGGACAATGCACACCAGCTGAAGCTGTAGTTAATTTGGAAATTAGCACCGAAAAGCCAGCAGCCATGGAGAAGAAGCACCTCGACGGCTACATAAAAGAGTGGACACACCAATTATCACCTTCCGAGAGGAACAATGCTAAGCAGCTATTATGGAAATATGCCTCTACCTTTGCGTTGACAAAAGAGCACCAGGGAAGAACATCAGTGGTAAAGCATGAAATCCATACAGCAGACGCGAGACCCATTAAACAGCCTCCAAGAAGTGTTCCCCTGGCAAAAAGAGACGAGGTCCAGAAGCTGATAAGTGAAATGGAAAAGAGTGGTGTAATAGAACCATCGTCAAGTCCATGGTGCTCCCCAGTGGTATTGGTCAAGAAGAAAGACGGAAGCACCCGATT